AAAACATCTTATCAACTCAAACTGTTAAAACAACAGTTGTATATACATGGATATAAATTAATAAATACTGTGTATTACTGATTAAAATAGCTGTTTGATTAAAATTATTCTTTGAATGGATTTTTTTTTATTCAGTTGCACTGCAAACATAAGTGCAGAGATATTTAATACATATTGTCAATACAATATATTTTTGCTGTATCACACATTCTTATATGAAATTCTTCAGAACAGGAAATGATGCATGTCTGTACTGATAGACAGCTCATCTCTGAAAGACCTGTGTGATCATGATTGTGTTTCTCAACATATGTTTACCACATCAGGAACTTCCCTTAATCGCTTAATACTTTGTTTTTCTTTCTATTCACAGCAACTGGACTTGCACTCCTGTCCCAAGCCCATTGTTTTTATCCTCCACTCCTTCCTGTCCGCTAAGATTGCAAGATTAGGATTGGTAGCCTGAGATTAAACTGTTATAGACTGAAACAGTGACGTGATTTATTCCAACATGGAGAAGGGAAAACCGGAACGCAGTGGAGCTCACAAGACTGAACGAGGGCGATGATGCAGAACTGGCGCTGTAGCAAACCGGACATTTCATTAATGATAAACAATGTATTTTTCAGAGAGATATTAATTCTAGTGAAACACAATTTCCCATTGATTTTCTATGAAAAAAAATCTAACTATATAATGAACACTAACTTGTGATTGGAACTAAAAAAAAAAATACTCAAAGTATTAATTTAGAATCCAATACAGCAGAGTATTCAGCACTTACAATGCCATTAACTTCTATATAACAGGAGGGAAGGCGGCCATCTGTATGACAGCTGTCTGAGTAATTACATCTGTCTGGCAGCTATGTGGATTAAAGAAAGGCTAGTTTAAACCTTGTTAATGCACATAAAAGTTAAACGGCCTGAAAACAGTCATCTCGTTTAGTTTATGGTGTTTTCACTCTGGAGATGTGCGACACTGATAGTTGAGCAGAATCAACAAGAATGTTCTAGAGTGCCGGTTATCAAAGAGGCATGTCAACAAACTGTCTGCTTTCACAAGGCCTTTGTGACAAAAGAAGAAAATCGAGACCGGGTCAGCCCTCCCCTTCAGAACTGTATCCGTTTCTACACAAATGGAGTTTCGGTGACTTTTACAAACGTCTCGCTCATAAAATCTGGAGTCCTGCTGTACTAACTTCTGACGTCCAAAAGAAATCTTTAGTAACGCCATCACATTTGTGTAGTTGTTTTTAATATTCATCAGAAGGGTGTTCTCCATTCTTGCGTGATGTGCTTGCATGCACGCTAGCACAACAACTATTGTGGAGGCTCAGCTTTGCTCTCATTGGCCTGTGGTCATATTTAGCTTCACTGTGCAAACGCACAAAGGCCATTGAAGAACTTTGGATGTCAGATTATAAATTAGAGCACTTGAGAGTTTTCAAGTTAACCAGCAATTAGTGTCCATTGTCAGGCACTGAGCGTTCCCAGAGCACCGCTCCATTGTAGGGGTTATGGATTTGGGGACAGCAGGGCCCCTGTGGCGCAGCCTTTGTCTCATCTGTGAAACTGTCCCTGCCACATTCCAGCGCACATGACGGATCCAGGAGTCACGGGGCTGAGAATCAGATTTCGAAATTAGTGATAGTTCACTCTAAGATGAAACATTCTGTCATCATTTTCTCCCCCTCAACAGAATACGAGATATTTTGAAGAATGATTCTGTCCAGACTGTAAAAGTCAATGGGGTCCAACACTTTCAAGCTCCGAAAAGAACATTAAAGGGATGGTTCACCCAAAAATTAAAATTGTCAGAAAAAAAATAAATACTTTATTCAACAATTAAGTCTCCTCCGCGTCACCTTGGCGCCATTTTGGAGAGTAGTGACGCGGAGGAGACGAATTGTTGAATAAAGTCGTTATTTTTTTTTACTTTTGCACACAAAAAGTATTCTCGTAGCTTCGTAAAATTATGGTGGATTTACGATTAAGATCACATGGATTATTTTACCGATCTCCTTGCTGTTTCTGGACCTCCAGGATCCTTGCTGTCTATGGGAGGGTCAGAGAGCTCTCAGATTCCATCAAAAATATCTTAATTTGTGTTCCAAAGATGAACAGAGGTCTTACGGGTTTGGAACGACATGAGGGTGAGTAATTAATGACAGAATTTTCATTTTTGGGTGAACCAACCCTTTAAGGTAGTGTGAAATTATGCTGCATTCACATGTCTTAATGACAGTAATTACTAGTTCATGTCCTCGGACACAAAATTAAGCAATTCTTTGGCAAAAAAAATTTGTGTCATTTGAGTAATCAATAAACAAAACTACAATATAAGTAACAGTTGTTATTAATAAACATTTTATTTAGTGGGCTTTTAGTTATTCAACACTACAGCTACATTAAACTGGCTGCCACCAGTCTCTGTTCCTTACCCTCATCCAGAACCGATGATTAGAACACAACGGCAGCGTAGGCAAACGAATTGCCATCACATTTCTATGGTGCTGAAAAAGCATGGAATACAACCATACAAAAGTGTTTTGCATTAGATGTAAACAAATTAAAACAATGGCCAGTAACACACCAGGGGCCCGTTCTTCGTACGTCGCTTATTACATCCGAGATGAAATGTCACATCAAAGATGATATCATCGCTAATCAGGATCTGGCTAATTCGGTTCTTCGAACACACCTGTTGTTGATGATTAGTATGGCTGGATTGAGTTATCTGAGATAATTGTGCGTTCATGGGTTGGTTTAAAAGGAGCTATGTATCGATACTCGAAATCACGATCAGCAATGCAGCGATTGGCTGGCGGCAAAACTACATAAATATTATAATAGATGAATTAAATGTGCACCGTTTTTATTTTTTACATGATTCCCAATTATTTATATTCACGATTTCTAATATTTGTACAGGCTTTACATTTTTATTTCAATGTAGTAATTATCAATTCATTTAATTTTATATTTGAACAGATTTGTTACGGGACAGCATTATTTAAAATTTCTTAAGGGTCAAGATGTTATCTGCATCTCTTACGCTCCATCAAGCCACTCCCATAATATCTGTCAGCACTCAAATTAATGCACGAGTCTACATTATCTGTATAGCATGTGTAAATCGAATACAATTATGAAGTAATAATTTTATGACGAGTAAATCTTTCAAAATGAGTAAAACTGGCTGTGTCTATAGTATTTAAGACTAGACAACATTATTATATTATCTTTAAATTAATTTTTTTATTATTATTATTTTAAATTATTGTCCCTGAATTAGTAGTGTACTCTTGTAATAAAGTAGTGGTGGTAGCGGACAGATTTTAAGTATCAATTCTGCTTAAAAAGATACAATCTAATCCTGTTTACATGAAATAAGCCAGCTCCGGAGCAGGTTTACGCTTAAGGACCTGTTGCTATGACAGCAACTCCGGGATGAGCTTCGAAGAACCAAATAATCCAAGATCATGCCAAATCGTCAACAATCAAATCCAGCTAACTGAGTTAGCGACATACGAAGAACAGGCCCCTGGGGCCTGTACCATGATGGTGGCTGAACAAACTCGGAGTTACAGGATTAGTTTTGATTTGACAAAACCAAACCAGTCCAATCCAGCTTTGTTGGTACCATGAAGCTGATCATCAACTTTCTCTGTCAATGCAGGCTTGATCCTGAGTTAAAGAAGCACGTGCACATGAAAGAGTGACATCAGTAATGAACTTCTCTCTGGAGTCAGTGCGATTCTTTACCAAAGATTAAAAGATAGAATATGAAGAATTTAAACACATTTACAAGATGAAACGATCTATCCATGAAAGAGGAAAACTTAAAGAAAACATCTTGCCATATAAGTGCAAGTAAAAGTTGTACAGTTAGTTTAGAGTTGATCATATTTATAGGTATAAAAACACTTCAAATCTAAGCTCATGTGTAGTCATGTTTAAAGCTATTGATTCTAAAATTTATATTGCATATTATCGCTTTTATTAATTTAAAATAAAAGCTTAATTACTATCAAACTAAGCTAGCTTGTGTAATGGATTAAGGGTATAATAATTATATCATATAAAATAATCTCTAAAAATCAGACAATTTTATCTTTAAAAATGTTTTTCTACACCGTGTCCTTTAATTTGGAGTAAGAGAAACTGGGGGAGTGGCTTTATTGCATCAGATGCGTCACTTTGCTTGAAGCTGATTGGTCAAATTTCGGTTTGAGATCTCTAAACCAGAACATAACCTGCCCCAGAGCAGGTTAGCTGTGGAGTGTAAGTTACTAAGGCAATGAATGCCGCTAAAAGCCAAGCCACTTTCATGATACCTAAAACCCAGGATTGGTGCAAACTAAACTTAAACTTACCTGGCTAGCCAGCTAAACCGGCTTCATGGTACAGGCCCCTGCTCTTTCTGAGTCCATCATTTGTGCTGTGCAGTGGGGTATGTGAATCATGGCAGTAAAAAATAATCACAATTCTTAGCGAATAATGAAAACTGTTTGTAAATGGGAGTGAAGAGCTTTGCTCTTGACATGTAAACATCATAATGTGATTAAGTCCTTACATTTTGAAATTGCATTATTCATGTGCATATAAACGTAGTCATTGTTCTTACATTAACACTAGAACAATAGTCAATTGCAGGAATTATTTAAAAAATAGTATGAAATAGTTGCTTCACTGCCAAGGCTGCTGCCATTTTGAGTATTTCCCATAGACTGTATAAAAACAGGTATTTCAGCATGTCGTTGAAGTGGTCAGGTGGTGCAAGTCGGAGGTCGAGTCACTGAGTCTTTTGAAGTGACTTATGTTGTATGATGAACTGATTGCAATTTAGGTTTTTACTCGCTCCAATAAGAATTTAAAACACTGGTTACATCAGATATGGTAACAGATTTTTAGACCCCACTGATTTTCATAATGACAAAAATATTGTTAAAAATGTCTTGTATTCAGCAGAACAAAGAAAATGTAATATAGGTTTTGAAACAACATGAGGGTGACTAAATTATGCCTTATTTTTGAGCGAAATTTTTTTTTATAAACAAAGAAATCACAATGTATATGTAGAGCAGCAGGTGCTACACACATCCAGGCGTGGCATAAGCTTTAACCCATTCTTCCGCATTTCACTTAGTTCTACTGTTTAGGAATAATGTTATTCACACTTCCTCATTTTCAGCTTAAATTTCAATAAATGGTCACTGGGGAGGAAGTTTCAAGTTCTGAAAATGACAGCATATTTTCATAGTACAATGAACTCTTCTGAAAAGTTCAAGGAAAATGTGATTCTTCATGCAATGAACCCTTTTATATCAAGACGTCAGCATGGAGAACACAGTGAGATGTTTAAACACACTGTAGAAAGGAGTCTGAAACAAAGTTGAATAGTTTACCCATGCAGATCAAAATACTGATTCAGCTTGGGAAAAATCACAATGTATCAATAAACTAAAACCTTATTAAAAACATCTGTTTTATTCAACATCATAACACGGAGTTTCACCATATGAACTAGAGCAGCTCTGGTGATAACAGTGAGTTCAGATTGCATGTTGCCTTCGAGGGCTCTCAGGGTTGCCAATGTAATGTGCAGCCCCCTCCCTCCTTTCCCATCACCCCTCTGGGCACCCAGGAGCGAGAACAATGGCCCTGTGTGGGACTGGAATGTGTCCGGCGACGTTGCCAAACGAGACACCCTCAACCTGCTCAGGGCAGGGAGTACCAGGGAGCAGTTACCCTTTATAACCTCAGCCCAATGTGACCTTAGGTCATTTTAGGGCAAACTACTTGCAGCGGTAGTTTTGTGCCGACAGCTTGTGTGTGACCAACGGAAAAAAAAGAGGAGGCAATCACAGAAGCAATGACGAGCTGAGACTCTCATGTGTTCCTTGTTTCATGCTTGAGTTGTGATTTGAGCGAACTGATTACTGAAATACGATCTGGGGAGAAACGCCCTCGGACTGATTTTCATGATGCAAAACAGCGCTTCTCAGAAAACGTGGGGCCATATTTGGCTGTTGTTTACATTAAAATGATTATCACAAACACAAAAAAAACAATATCGAAATAAATATATACATGCCAGGAACAGTTGTATAATTAATGCTGTGAGAAGAAGCACTTTTCTTAAAGCTCCATCCCTTCACTTTGTAGCATCATGATGTGAGTTCTTATCACGGTGTCCTACTGCAGGTTTACCTTCAATGTTTCCAACTACAAATCAAGTCATCTTTTAGATGATTTCTCCACAACCCAATCAATCACCTGTGGATGAGAACAGCGTGTGTATAAAAACATTTTACATTGTATCAATTTTAAGGGCATCTTACAAAAACAACTCAAAACAACACAGCTGTAATTTGTTATTTTCATCAACTCGGGTGCTCTCAGAACACAATAAGCTGAAGTGCGTGCTTTACCTGTTTGACATTGTTGCTGGCTGCTTTCTTCATTTCCTCATGAAGGCCACGTGAGGTTTTCAGATCCTGTTGTAAAACAAACAGGTTGCTGAGGCATAACGGCTCGGAGAACCGCATTGTGCAAGCTAGACTTTGCTAATGCTTTATTACATTTATGCATACTTGTACTAACATTCAACGGTTTGGGGTCAGTATGATTTCTTTTCAATGAAATAAATACTTTTATTCAGCAAGGATGCATTAAATTGATTAAAAGTGACAGTAAAGACATTCAGATTATTAAATGAAGTTTGTAAAATCAAGGTTTTCATAAAATATTAAGCAGAACAACTTCAATGTTTTAAACGGTGAGAATAATAATAAATGTTTCTTGGGCACCAAATCGGCATATTAGGAAGATTTATGAAGGATCATGTGACACTGAAGATTGAAAATGGCTGCTGAAAATTCAGCTTTGCCATCACGAGAATAACTTACATTAAAGATTCAAATAGAAAATGGCTTTTCATAATGAATAGTTACATTCTTTAAAAAATATTGAGAAAAAAAAAAAAACTTACTGAACTGAAACTTTTATATGGTAATGCAAATGCTCTACTACATTTATATATAAATGTGTTTTGAGTTTGACTAGCATACCATTATAAGAATTACATTTAAGTGAAAATATGGATGCATGTATACTTTCATTTGAATATAAACATTAATAAATTAACTTTGACTAACTTAAGCTTAAGTTAATATATCCGTGACAAGTTACATTTAAAGGGATAGTTCACCCAAAAATGAAAATTCCTTCATTAATTACTCACCCTCATGTCTTTCCAAACCCGCAAGACCTTTGTTCATCTTCAGAACACAAATTAAGATTTTTTTTGATGAAATCTGTGAGCTTTTTGACCCTGTATAGACCAAACAAAACTACCATGTTCAAGGCCCAGAAAGGTGGTGAGGACATCGTTAAAATAGTCCATGTGACATCAGTGGTTCAACCGTAATGTTATGAAGCTACAAGAATATTTTTTTGTGTGCAAATAAAAAAAAAATAACGACTTTATTCAACTATTTCTTTTCAACGGTTTTCTTTCCATGACAGTTGAACCACTGATGTCACATGGACTATTTTAACGATGTCTTTACTACCTTCCCGGACCTTGCATGTTTCCGTTGTGTTGCTGTCTATGCAGGGTCAGAAAGCTTTTGGATTTTCATCTTAAAGGGGTCATATGATGCTGCTAAAAAGAACATTATTTTGTGTATTTGGTGTAATGAAATGTGTTTACGTGGTTTAAGGTTAAAAAAAAAACATTATTTTCCACATACTGTACATTATTGTTTCTCCTCTATGCCCCGCCTTTTTGAAACGTGTAGATTTTTACAAAGCTCATCGGTCTGAAAAGCGAGGTATGCTCTGATTGGCCAGCTATCTAGTGCGTTGTGATTGGCCGAATACCTCAAGCGTGTGACGGAAATGTTAAGCCTCTACCATACTGTGATGCCGTCTCCCGGAGCGACGAGACAAAAACATGAAAACCCATTATAAACGAGGCATTTGTTGCATCCAGTGGGGACATAATTATGGATTATAATGACTTACTGTCTTTTTACGCATTGTGCAGTGTAAACATAAAACCATGCCTGCATTTGTGATCGGAGAAATAACAAAAAACAAGCGCTACTCTACACTGCTCAAAACTCGCGTTTGAATCATCAGTGGCAACTCCTTTAAATATGAAAACGTACTTGCAGTCTGGGAGTCAGAACAGCCGGCATTGTAGTCTACTCTACCAGGATCAGGAAACAGTCCTCCATAAAATGCGCAGCACACATCTGAATATTTGGGTTGAACTGTTCTGGAACAGTGTTGTAAATATAACTTAACCACTGATTTCTAGTCGTGTCCTCTTTTGGAAGACCAAACAAAGTATTTTCGCTTTCGCAATGAAACACACAGCGTCTTCACAACATGGCGGCCACGGCGGAAGCAACAATAAAGTTACGCCTTCTTTCTTTGCGTGAACATTTGGCCGCCGTTATGCAAATCTTCCCACACAGTGATGTAGACATGTGGGGGCATGTTTGAACGAGGCGTTTTAGGAGAGCGTGGACCCGTCTTAACTTTTATAAAGAATATCTCTTTGGGTTTGAGACTTTAGTCTTTGCAACTTTAGGGATCTTATCTATTCACAAACAGCTTGTAACGCTCCAAAGAGAAAGGAAAACTTGAAATCACATCATATGACACCTTTCATTTGTGTTCCGAAGATGAAAAAAAAGTCCTACGGGTTTGGAATGACATGAGGGTGAGTAATTAATGACAATTTTCATTTTTTAGGTGAAGTATCCCTTTAAAGGTTGCATATAGCGTCCCCCCAGTCCACTTATAACATTTATTTATACAAAATGTCACACAACCATGAGATATAAGCCACCCAAGTTTACACAGAATATCAATGTCAGTTCAGTATACATCACCTTGACCTGTCCTGATGAACAACATTAAGAACTATGCTGGTAAGTGAAGGCTAGCCAAACATAACAGAGGCCATTTATATATTGAGGTCTTAAAGGTACCGTAGCAGAGACAGTCTGTATACACGGTGTAAATTATGAAAGATTTTGGTGCGCATAAAAATCTTGACAATCAAATTCAGGGAAAAATACTAAGGTGTTACGAAAGTGGGGTTTTTTTTCCTCACTGAATGCTTTAGGAACAAAGCGAATTGAAACACGTTTCTTGAACTAAGTTTTTGCTCCCCTGTCATGGATAAATGATGCAGATAACATCAATCGGCAGCGTTTACGCAGCATATTTTGAGCGCTTCAAAGATGTCCTAAAGGCAGGACAGCAGGGTGCGAGGGAAAGAGGCAGAATGATTCGTACCTACCTTCAGATAAAACTTTGATATGTCAAACAGTCTTTGACTACAGGCTTCAAAGCACTTGTGCTCACTGCTGATCCCGTGTTTATTGAGCGTCTTAGCAACCACCTCCCTCAGCATCTGAAGCAGAAACAACGGATGAGAACGATGCACAATCACGTAACTACTGCACTCACAGAGCTCACATAAAGACCTGACATTTGCTGATGACTGGTAGTGAATACACTGAATAAAGTAAAGGGTTTAAGGTTTTGAATGGGCTGAGAGCTGTTTTGCCTGATTCCATGGCTCTCTGGAATACTTGATTCTGACTGGTCAAATGCAGCATTCAGTGGCCAGATATTTTGAAATAATGACCCCTAAACTGCATATTTGACCGTATTCCCTAGCAACCAATTTTCTACAAAGCTCTACCATTTTTATGTCTCTCTTAGAACTTAAATCAATATTTCATACCCATATATTAATTTGTCAAGTTGTAATGTTATAAGCGGGGTAATGTACATTATGGAAATATATTTAGGTTTTGCCTTGTTTAAATATCTTCAATATTACATTTCTGGCTGATACCAATAAATTAATGTTTTAAACTATTCAATTTGAATCATTATTTACAATTTATTCATTGTCTAAAACTAAATAAAACACTAAAATCAGTCATAGGCAATGTTAATAGGTTAATGCTAAATTATAATGTACAGTAAGAAAAATAGATATTCATTTTGAGATTTGCTAAAAATGACAATGTTAAAATTAGTGTTTTTAAAGATGAATTTAAGTGAACATTATGAGACAGCAAAAAAGGAAAATAAGCATGAACAAATAAATACCCAAATATCCAAAATTGACCTATTTATGTCAGAGTCAATAGGCTCTTGGCCAGCTCTCCGTAATATAGCATGACTGCTTTTTGGGTGACCCATCTTTTAAAACTTTCCCATTCTGCCCCCCTTTATCTCATATTTCACATCCTGTCTACTCTCCATACTGTCCTCTATAAATAAAAAAGCAACAACACAGAAATATATCTTTAAAAAATATATATATTTACCTATTTATATGCAATATCTGCCAATAGCATTAAAAGAAAAAAACCTAATATCACATGACAAACAAAATTTTACCAATATATATTGTGCACTAATGCAGATTTTACCCCAAATCTCTGCAGAAAATGTGCAAATATTAATTCTCCAGAGCCTGGTCATTAGCACTTACCCTGTTGTGTTTCTGGGAGCGGGACTCGGTCTGGGTCTGGCTGGGTTTTTGACTGGGCGAGGGGTCGGCAACCGAAGCAGAACGTCTGGCCAGACCTGAGCTGGAACGGGAATGGGCTGCTTGCTGCCGCAGAGCCCCCACAGCTGGGTGAGTACCACCTGCACCCAGAGATCCAGAGCTCTCCGATTTACAGAACCTGCCAAAGGGATTTTAAAAGGGATGAGGTGGATGGTGTAAGATATTGCTTCTCTGAGATCATCAATCCCACAATCTCACTTTGTAACTCACATCAAAACTCTAATCAAAATGACTTGATGTGACGGCCTACTTAAGCACTGGAGCACACACTTCTACCTCTTTTTCTTAGTAGTAGATGTCAGCTCCAGCACTCTCTTTCTAAGCCCATTTAATAAGAAACTGCTCAGTTCCAGGATTTTTTTTTTTATCCTTGAACATAAATTTCCAGGCTTGTGCTTTTAGTTCCCGATGATGTGACACCACTGTGGTAATTTCAGAGTCTGAGATGATGATGATAGGCCTTAAATTAATGTGGCCCCTGGAGTTCTGCAGTAGGTCAGCATTTTTAAAAAAGTCAATAAGCTCATGTCCTGACAACACATCATCTAATGCACGCTGGGCTTCTGTGGCGGCAAAGAAGGCCAAACATTAGACATTTGATCACTGCCATATGTGAAGCGCATTTAGAGAGGGTCTACGTGATTTCAGCTAAAAATGCAGGAAATAGTAAGACTTTGACTTTCAATGCAGTGCTGCTCAGTAATTTTCATTCATTGCTCATTTCACCCTTTGACAAAGCCATCAAGCACAGATCTATATTCAATTTGGGTGTGAGTGATGTATGGCGCATTCAAATGCATGTAAAGTGGAGGAACGGGGGGCAGAGGAAGGCAATGATGAGCAGGCAGAACTAAAATGAGCCACAAGGGAGAATCAATGAACTGACAGCTTCAGAAAATTAACCTAACTGGAGAAACATTAGTTTGACTGTCTAACTGAAAAACTGGCGTGCAATGATAGGTTGACTTATTTAAATACTGGCCAATAGAATATCATTACAACAGCCTGGCCTTAAACACTCTTAATAATAATAAAAAGAATAAAAATCATTATTAATATTTGAGCACCAATAATAATAATAATAATAATAATAATCGATAATTAAGCACCAAATTGGCATAATGGTAGGATTTCTGAAGGATCACTGAAGACTGAATTAATGGCTCCAGAAAACTCAGCTTTGCCATCACAAGAATAAAATACATTTTAAAATATATTCAAATAGAAAACAGTTATTTTAAAATAGAATAATATTTCACAATATTACCATTTTTACTGCATTTTTGATCAATTAAATGCAACTATTGCAAGTTTTGCAACACAAAGGACCTGAAAAATTATTGTATCTAATTTAGGGCTGCAAAACGATGAATCACTATTAATCGCATTCAAAATAAAAGTTTATGTTTACATACTATATGTGTGTGTACTGTGTATATTTATTATGTATATATAAACACACACGCATATATGTATATATTTAAAAAAAATTATAATAATATTTGTATGTATATATATTTAGACTTGCAAATAATTTTTAGTATATATAAATATTTTATATATAAACCTAACATATTTTCCCTTAATATATATATATATATATATATATATATATATATATACACACATACATAATAAATAAACACAGTACCCATACATATAGTATGTAAACAAACTTATTTTGAATGTGATTAATCGCGATTAATCGTTTTGCAGAACTAATCTAATTTAATGCCAAATGACCTGCTACCTGATGCAAAAATAAATAAAAAACAATGTCCCAAGAAGACCTGTGGCCATCTATAGGTAAGAAAAAGCCATGAGATGACCCTTCATCATTAGGGCTGGGTTTTGACACAAATTTCACGAGTCGATTCGATTCTCATTCACAAGCTTGCGATTCGATTCAATAGATTAATTTGGATACATGTCAGGTACAGTACATGCCAAATTTTCAAAGAAAAAAAAAACTAATGCTTCAACTAATGCTGTAAAATATACATGAGTCAGTTGGTAATACATTACTATAATACTGAAGGTTAAAATTGACTGATTTGTTAAAATTACACTTAATTAAGTTTTTAAAATAATAAAGTTACAATTACATAATATTTCTACTTCAATTTGTTTATTTTTTATAAACAAACAATGGTGGCTTGTCATAAAAACTTAATGAATTTATTCAAACATTAAACATTGAGCAACAGTAAAATGTATAATGAATATGTTATATGGTGCATATATTTAGCAAAATGCCCCTCTCTACAGTTTATTTTTCTGACTAATGAGTTTATGGTCACCGAATATGTTTTTCTGAGGTAAATGTGATGTTACATTGTTTACAAGACGTTATATTAACGACTTTGCGCGCTGAAACACTGATTGAGCGATTACACGGACAGGATACGGATTGTAAAGTTGTACTCTTTTTTTTAACTTGCATTCGGATGTTTAGTCATGATTATTTTGTGCTGAAACTGGTATTAATGTGGAGGAGAAGATTAGTTCACGTGCGCTACAGCGTCTGTTGAACTGAGGCGCTCCAGCGATCTGTCAATCCACATTAAACAGCGCCAAAACGGCATTTATTGTTTAAATACTGCAAATACAATGGACAGAATTTCTGAGACTTTGTTTCATATTAAAAATACCAAGGCACAATGCTTATTGTGATATATTGGATGGGAAGTGCCCCTCAACGTTCCGTCCATTAACTGAAAACAGGCTAGACTAATCGATTCTTGGGATTTAAGAATCGATATCGTTCCGTAAAAATGAGAATCGATTAATATCGAGATGAGATATTTTTTACCCAGCCCTATTCATCATTAGTATGCATGCAGTGTTGTCACCTCTTGTGTGGCTGGAGGTCTGTTTCGCGGGAGCGGTGTCTGAGGCGGGACAGCTCGCTGTGCAGAGCTTCACCGTCAGGCACACTGCCCGGTTCAGACAGCACAGCTGGGGAGGGTGCAGGACTGAGGGCGAATGGCACAGGGCAGGGCTCCTTACAGCATGTGCTCTGGGTCTCATATCTTATTAGACGAGACTGCAGCTTCACAAAGCCACGGTCTCGCTCAAGGGCCTTGCACTCATCCAGACAGAACCTGAAGCACACCCAGAGAATGCTTGAGAAGATGGAGGAATTAGGGAGAACAGATTGTAAAATGGATGAGTTTTTATATAGACACACACATATACACACACACACTTACTCTATTCCATGGTAGTGGGATCGGGCGACTTTTGAGAAAGGAAGCTTGGTCACCTTCCTGGGTGTGAGGTCAGGAGACAACTGAAAGGCATGTTCACTACACAAACAAAACCACAAACCATATTTAGAGACATTCAGTTCAGGAATTATTAAACGAGTATTTCTAGAGATAGTGTGTAACTGGTAGAAGGCAAGTTATGTAGAAAATTTTCACAATCTATTTGTTTCTCAGTGTCTTTAGTATTATCTTTATCTCTGGTACATAACTAGTACATAACCTCCATTTTATTATTCACAATAGGGCCACCAAAAATGAATGAATGAATCATCTGATGTTGTTCCAAATGCATAAAACGTGAACCTAAGATGATTTATGAACTATTTCTTAACAAAATTTTACAAACATGAATTAAATAGTCTTAAATGTTTTAGTTTGTCAATTTAAAAGTAATTTATAAATAAAAAAATTTATGTTTGAATTCTTAAACTGCTAACTTATTCCTTCAGTTTATTAACCTCCATAGGTCAGTCAAGCTCCCAAATGACAAAATAAACACCATAAAAGCACAATAAAAGTGGTCCATAGGACTCCCACTTATATTCAAATCTTCCAAGTCATATGATAGATTTGTTTGACAAACAGACAAAAAAAAAAAAAAAAGGTCATTATATACTGAAAACGTTCCCTTTCTGTAGCTCTTTAATATGGAACCATTTTGTACATCGATGTGCCATTTTTTTATGGAATTTGTGACTTTTATAGTGGGGTCCTTGCACAAAGCTATATATGATATAATAGTGTCCAACGCACCACTTTATCAATTCTCTATGTGCTTTTATCCCCCATTTTAAATCCTGAACTGCCACATTGTTTTTTATTACATGACAAACAGTGTTACCTATTGTGTTCCAAAGAAGAAAGTCAGTCATATAGGTTTTCAAACAGTGTGAGGGTGAATAAATAAAGAACTTGGGGCTGAACAATCCCTTTAAGACCAGTGCAAGCAGAAAATTAAAAAAAGAAAAAGTTGTAAAACTTGAATGATGTTTTAAAACTTTCTACCATGTGCACACATGCTCCCTCCTTGTCTAGAGGGACTTGAATTGCGGTTTTAATAAGCTAGGGGAAAAAGTAATTAAGAGACATCATGTCAGACACTGTGTAGTGTGTATGACCAACCCTCTAAGCACTGGCAGCGGCTGTAGTTCCCCACTAGGCAGTCCATCAGGGGTGAAGTGTTTGAGCAGTTCTCTGGCATCCAGCAGTGTAGAACTTCCCCTCTGGCTATCTTTAGGCCCCATCAGACTCTCAGAGGAACCACTGCTGAACAGCCTGCACCTGTGGATGACACTGAAAATTATTCATGCAACCAACCAATTTACTATTCCAACCATTGAACAAATGCACAAGCTATTTTCCCATCTGATACACTGGTTTGAGATTCATTAAGCCCTCAACAAAGACAACAACTGAAGGCTCCAGACATGGTAATGAGTTTTCAGATAAGGTGATATGGTACCACATGGCTTACCTGGATCTTTGTCGGGCTCTCTGTATGTTCTCATAGTTTTGTAGGACACTCCTCTCTGGCCATTCTGTGCGAGCACAACATTTCACATCTTTGAAAGAAATGTAATGGTCAGAAAGAGCCACAGGTTGAGTAAATAAAAGGTAATCTTAATAAATAAGAAAACTATGTAAACTAAGGATTACATATCGTTATTCACACACAGGCACAAAAGTGTTTCTAATCAAGCTCTATGATATTTTACCACATATTTGCCTGTCATTTGGTATTTGGCAATACCATATATTACTAATGTTACATTTAGACAAGTGTTTGTTCTATGTATTAAGGTGCAGTCACATGAAACAACAGTGTCAACATAGAGAATTTAGGTGACCAACTCACTGAGAAATCTGCATGGCCAAATCTTTCACTCTCATGTGACATTCCCAACCTTGTGGATTACTACTGAATCCACACAGTTTTCACCCACGACAATTGTTGTGTTTTTTCCATTAAAAAACCCTGCAATTTTTCCTTTTCAGCATGGCATGTTAATAATTTTGCATTGTGTTAATGATGCAGCCAGTAGGGCCCTATGATTTCCGCGATGTGGAAAACACGGACTGAATCGCAGAATCCAGTCTTAAAAACGGAATGTCACGGAATTTGCCAAATTTTGGATGGATACATCAAAAGCAGCTGAATTACAGTTAAATCAAAACGTGATATGGACTAGTGTCTGAGAATATTAAGCTGCAAAAATACCATTTAAATATGAATCCTGCATGTTCTGCGTGTCTCTGTGTGAATGGATGGCGCAGATGCGTGGTTTTGTTTACTACACACATACTGAAGTGTGCGTGACACTCACAGGGTTTTCAGCCTCTACTGCCCCAATATATGAGAACATGAAGACAAGAACATAATCACTAGAACTGCTCTGAGAGTGAAACTGGATTTTATTATAATAAACATAAGCAGTAATCAATATGATGTATAATATTATTAATGTATCATAATGTAATAATTAATATCACAATCCATCAATACTTTTACAAATGATGTATCCCTAAAGCAAACTGCTCTGTAAGTACTCCTCACCACTAGTGTTAGAAGAGGAAGTCCGGTTCTCCTTCTCCAGGCACATGCGTTCAGACGCTCTAGACAGTGTGGAGTCGTGCATTTGAAGGTACTGCTCTCTGGCCAGATTCAGCAGAGCCTTCAGTTCATTCACGGGAATGGCAGCAGACTTCTGGGCCTCCTCTCTTCGCCCTAGCCCCAGATGAGATGCATCATTAAATGTCTCTCATTAATCACACTACCCTTTCAAACCAATCTGTTACATATTGTCTGCTTCATGTTGACTTTCAGTTTCTTGTAAGACACACTAATGAAACTTAGCACATCTGAGACAGCTGTATAATTAATCATGTTTCAAATCAGTTCTGACAAAATCCCCTCTAGATTTGCCTTAAGTTATCAAAGGGTAAAATTGTGCATAATCCCACATTTTCACTACTAATTTGATGTCCAATGTATATACAAATTACTCTGTATACAAAGAAAAAGTGTCACGTCTGATACAGCCTAGAAACTAACCTGAATGTATTAGCTACAAGCCTAATAACAGTGCTCTGACATGCCACAATTAATCTATCATATAATCTATCATGCATCATAAACCCTTGTTAACACAGTAGGTGTTGAGGGTCTGACAAAAGCTGTATTGTTCACCACACAAAAGAGATCTTAATTTTCAAAAAGCGCTCACGTGAGACTGAGAATGTGTGACCAGAGGAATATGATTAGAAATGTGCTGCTCTGGGGTGACTGAAGCACAGCGTGTGAATACTTAGAGGTCCTGGTGAAAGATTTTCCGTTGCCTGGGAAACACTTACGGCAGCATTCCTTGAGGACCAGAGTCTGCACCTTGGCCAGCTTTCTCTCCCTTTGCAAGAACTGCTCTCCACGGAGACATGGCAGGGACTGTAGCCAGTCATCAGTGCTGCTCCCTGTGGAGAAAGAAAAGAAAAGAATGAGAGTATGAGAGAATGAGAGCAAAGTACCAGGAGAGAAGCCTGCCCAAAATGTCCAATCTTACATTTCAAAACTGCAATACTGTTCTTCCTTACAAGCTTTGTTTTGGTTACATTAATGCTCTTACATGCACACTATTTAGAAAAGCCATGATCTATCAGCAAGATCAAAAAGTAAAACCAAATTCGAGAAAGAGAGTTGAAAATGTAAGTATGCCATGCAAGGTCTAATCTTTAAAACCACAGAAGCATGTTAACAGTTTCATAACCACACATAAAATTTCCAGCGACAAGCATTTGCATGTCCACACTGGATACAAAACTGCTGCAAGGCCTGACACAATCACAGCCAATCAAAAGATATTTGATATTTAAATGTACATTCGCTGTGGGTAAGGCAACTGAGCATGACACAGCAGAAATAGAAACCCAGCTATCTACAAAGTATCTTGTTGCTCATCACAGTCGCAGCTGGTTTATTCAAAACTCATATCTACAAAATATATCTTTAACTAGTTATGTTCCATCATGACTGGTTCACATTTAATATTTATCGTTCTTCCACTTTTCCTAATGCATTCAACATTTGCCTCAACCTTTTGTATTTCCTGGGTCCTGGGCAAAACATGAGCATAAAAAAAAGCATGAATAATTTTATAATTTTCAACTAAAAACATATTGTATTGGATTAATAACCTCTTAGCAGCACGCAAATGTGCAAATATTTAAATGTTTTTAAAGTTACTGTGTTATTACCATGTTGTACGTGCAATACACTGGTTTTGCTGTTAGTGTATAATTTTCAAATAATTTCTGATTTATTATTCAAAAAAAGGTAGTTAATATAATACTGGTCCCAGCCTCAGATGTCACGCCCATATTATATGCCAAACTCCCTCATAGAAGAACAAAGCCGTTGTGTTCACAACTGTGACGATGCTTATCAGGATCAACTAAGTGCTGGATTTCCAAAAGTATAAGAAATATGTAAAGTTTGCGGCATAGACTCTTTAAAATACATCCAAGAGTTTTACACACTGTTATTGTGGAGACATTTCCACACCCCAAAACATGAAGCGCCCCAAAACGAAACGTGATTGGTTGCTTTACCTGTCAGTCATATGGACTTTTTGAAAGCGGCCAAGGTTCCCAGACCTTCTGCTGTCAGTCTGAAGGTCTGGCTACATGAGACTAATGTAGTATTAGTGTAATGCAAGGAAAAATAAATAAATAAATATTTGTGAGAAATTTCAATTGAATAAATGAAATGTATTAGAACATATAAATTAAGAATTACCAGTATAAACATCATTGACTTCAATTGGTTTAATATGACAAGGTTTTAAACTGATAAAAAATTGGGTTCAAACTTAATCAGATTATAAACAATTTTTCTTAAATTTTGTTTTGTTGAACATGTTAACTGTCAGTCCCACTTTTTGAGCATAGACCTGAAAATGACATTTAAATCTAAAAAGCCATCCAGGGACAGAGGCTATAATTACGTATTAGCTAATTTTTGAAAGAATTTGTAAATAGTTTGTTAAACTGTAAAAATACTTGCATTAGCATTTTAAAATGCTTAATACTATATAAAAATGAAATATGAAATAAAGGGGAAAAAAGCCCTGATGGCAAATTAATTTGACTGGCTTGTGGAAAGCTGCTCATAGAAAACTCCCAGGTACCAAGCATCTCTTCAGAATCTATTCAGAGAGAGTAGACACCTGAGGGGTATCCTGGAGTGCTCATCACAATGCAGTTTCTTAGAAAAGCTCTTGTATGAGCTGATCTGAACATGCTTTTTTTTGTTCCATTATTAGTACCAATGCCGAACCATTGTTGCCATATTGGGCACCAACATAAACCACTTGCTTATTTGTGTCTTAAGTTTAAGGTTGAGTTATGGATCTGGCACAACCTTCTGAGCTCCACGGGAGGCTCGGAGCAAACCCACGCATTCTCTGATCTCAAGAGCAGTAATTTACTGTAACAAAGCTCTCCAGTGGTGGGCTTCGATACAGCCATTCTCGCTATACAAAGAAGAGCTATTAAGAGTAGTAGTGAACCACAAACCACCTGATTACATGAGTAACAGATAGATGTTAATCAATGAGAAGACATGGCAAGTCAAGAAATTATATATGAAATAGCCAAAAGAGTGTTTCTTTCCAATTTGATTATACTGCAGAAAGGGAAAGTGGGAATAGGCATGGGGGAAAATATATTTTGGAAGGAAAAATGCATGTCCTATGTCCTTATCATGTTCCAGAGCTTGTTTACTTTAAATTTGTCCAAGACCAAATGTCCTCAGTTGCTCTGTTGACAAAGAAAGGGTTTGAAGCATTTACCCCGATGAAGTCTGAAGCTTTAAATGCCAAACTGCTGAAAGGAAAAAAAAAGAAACGTGACTACAAGTCTGGGACTGTGCTACTGTACTTCCAATTCAGTGTTTGTAAATTCATATAAATTAGAAAAAGTGATGTTCCACATTTATGAAGCTCAGGACTGTGCAGTTCTGGACTTAGAGGAGTATATTTTCTCCTCGGTGTCATCTTGGCAACATCCAGGTGGTCTCAGCTACTGCTGTGATAGATGAGACTGTTGTATGGGTTTAATCTGACTCTAATAAATGCGGTTCTGGAATGCCACAGGGTCCAACTTACTTTAGAAGAACTGTATTAGTCCTCTCAATCCAACAGTACACATTGATTTATGACTATGCTCAAATATCCAGCTCTAGGCATACTGTTGCATCTGTGCATATTCATGCTGCCATCGACTGTGCATTTAAATGATCGGTGATCATACCTGAGGAAGGTGGAACTTTTTCCCTGATGAGGGCATTAAGCGTTGCCAGGGCAGCAGATCCATTGATCTGATTGGCTGTGTGTATCATTCGTGCTGTGCAGCCTCCTGACTCCGCCCCCTGCACCAAGAAGAGGTAGCGGCCTCTTTCACCTTTTACCTCCACATCAGGCACTGCAGGGATGAAGAGTTAATAGCACGCTAGCAAACATACAGAAATAAAAGTAGGCAATGAATGTCAGCGTATAATTTTACAACAAGTGAGTGCTGGGCGGCACATGAGAATGAGCATGGTGCAATTATACATATTAACGGCCTTTAGAACAAAGTATAAAGCTGTTTTATTAAACGCGGTTCATACCAGGTATGTCCTTGGGGCATTTGGACATGAAGTCTCTCCATTTGCAGGAGCTGAGCTGGGAGGCCGCTGGGAAAGTCTCTGAGCTTATCACACAGAACAGAGAAAACAAAGCTCCCACCTGCAACAGGAAACACTTTTTGTCTTTGTCGCTCCAGTGTTCCAGCTCTGGGAAATAAGTTGCTGGATGCAAGTTATCAATTTCCGACTATCCGTCTCAGATGATTTTGACAGCTTTGGTTGAATCTTAGTGGGAGAGGGTATATATCTGGCCGGAAGACAATAAATGGTGATGATCATGTTGGAGTTGGCCTTACCTCTCCACGCAATGTGCACAGTTGGTCCAAGAGAAGCTTGGCTTTGACAGATTTAGAAGTCAAACCACTGTAGATGAATGTCAAGGTGTGAAACAATACAAAGAGGAAAATGACAGTTTGCAGTTTACAGTATAAACAGTCATGAGGAACATGCCATCTCAACAATCATTAGCTCTCAGTGCAGAGTTCACCACGTGACATTGAGAGAAACCTGGTACAGTTAGTAAATGGTTGACTGTTTTTTAAACATTCATATACACTACCATTCAAAATTGTGAAAACTTGAAAAACCTTTTCTATTTTAATATATTTCAAGAAACATTTATTTCTGTCCTTTATAGGGATACTTTCTTGAATACAAATTTCAAAAGAACAGCATTTATTTGAAATAGTAATCTTTTGTAACATTATTAATATCTTTACGGTCACCTTTGATAAATTGCAACCTTACTAACCCCAAACTTTTGAAGTTGCTTTGGATAAAATTATCTGACAAATGCATAAATGTAAAACAGATTATTATGCGTCATTAATTTTTAAAGCTTTCAGAACATCAACCAAATTCTTCTGTCAACAATTCTGTGTTTTTCTGTCAATATGGGGTGCTGTGTGTACATTAATGAGGAAAAAAATGAACTTAAATGATTTTAGCAAATGGCTGCATTATAACAGAGTGAAAAATTTAAGGGGGTCTGAATACTTTCCGTACCCACTGTATATGGCAAAAAAACTGAAATAAACCATGCAGTACTATCTACAGGCACTACCTCTAATAAAAAATTATTGGTTATTTATACAAAAAGAGGAAACATTTCGGTCCATTTTCATAGCATTTTTGAGAGAAACAAATGATATTCATTCTGATCGGTCAGTTTATGAATACAAGGAGAATCTTTTCTAGCATTTTTACAGTAATTTAATTAAACCTTTGTAAAGGTGAATGGTTACGTATCTGAAAGAGATATTCAAATAAAACATCTTTATGCATTATGTGCATTTACAATTATTGTTTGTGTTTATGGATAAAATGCACTAATGGACATTTTTGAAGCCTTTTGTCTTTGGGAAAGATACAGTTCAAACTCTGCACTGGAATGGAGAAGTATCGGGAGATCTTTGACTCTGACCAGCTGAATCAGTTCCAACACAGGCTGGTAACACTGAAATACCTAAAACAGACAAAACCAAGCATGTTTTCCAGGGTCATAAAATATTTATGTTCAGAGAGAAATTAACCATGTGTGTCTTTGAAAGTTGTCACTGCAAAAAAACACACACACTCCCACTGGCATCATGTGCTAGTGGATCCAAAGAAAAGCATTAGATGACCAAGCAGTTTCAACCAAGCAAAGGGTTATGTGACCAACAGATTAAAGTGTTACTGGCTGTGACAGCAGCTGGCTAATGAAAAGAAACAAAAACAGCCCTTTTACGGTTTATTTGACATTAGCAGAGTAACAGTTAAAGCTGTTTTGGGGCCGCTGGGTGCTTGTGCCCCTGAGTGTTGAAACAAAATCAGCTTTGTGCTCAGACAGGACTAAACCAGAGCTTTTGGGCTGGAAAATGAGAGGCTGAGAGAGAGCTGGCAACATTTCTAACTCTTTATCAGCTCTTTCAGCTTCTATACAAGAGAAGGCGAGCAGAGAAAGAGGAAGTCAGTCTGAAGAGATCTGCTTCATTATTCAGTAGTTCTGGGCCCACAGAAAAGATGAGTACGATGCAACATGGTGAAATTAGTTCAAAGCTATATTTTAAGTAGTTTTAAAAATACTGTTGCAAATCCTTAAGAGTTACAGGATGGAAAGGAAGATGATAACGTCATGTTAACAGTTAAGATAAAAGGGTCTGTCAAATCAAATCATGTAATTTGATCAGTATTTTCACAAGTGTTTGTCAGAGAATCAGGGTGTTGTTGACCAGTGATTTTGCTATACTGTTTATACAACGGTAGATACATTTGCAGTGGGCAGGGCTGCTTCACATTATTTACATTGTGAATATGTTACATTATGTTGGAGAAATTAAGAAACCATAAATACATCCCAAACAAATAACTAAACTGTTTCTACAACAGCATTATAACTTAATAGCGAGCACTGATACATAAACAGCAAATTCAACCAGCTATTTAACAAAAGCTTTGAATCAGACTTTAGAGATGGAAACTCTAAGCTTCACTACTGACTTCTCAACAGAGTTGAGAAATTTTAAATATATCAGAAGCAAATAAATTATATATAAAATTCTCTAGATTATCCAAAGATTGCCATTAGCGCAGTATCATGTAAAACATTAAACCATTTTTTGTTCAATTTACATCAAACATAGACATATTCTAACACAAAAGCCCCCAAAAGTATTTGTACACACTTAAAAATGTGTGAATGTCTTTGCATTACATGGCAAAATATTAAACTAAGTGAAATTTGTTTTAAATAAATTTAACAAATGCACTTTAAGCAAAGAATTTCACAAAATAATTATCAAATGACAAAAATAGTTCAAAATTAGGATAAAATATTTGTACACATGGTGTCAAATGTTAGGTCTTCATTTTTGCTGAGAAAACCCATTTGCAGAAGCCATTTTTTTGTGCTGTTAAACGATTAATCGTGATTAAATCGCATCCAAAAGATAAGTTTTTGTTTACATAATGTATGCTGTGTATATATATTATGTATATAGATATGCACACGCATGTATATATTTCAGAAAAATGTTATGTTTATATATTAAATATATTTATTTATAATATAAATATAGACATGTAAATATTTTCAAAATATATACTGTATGTATTTATATATTAGGGCTGTCAGTGAATTAAAATTTTTAATCTAATTAATTACATAATGTTTCGATTAATTCATCTAATTAATCACAAAATAAATTTGACTGAAAATACCAACAAAAGATTACTTAAAGCTATTTTTGAGTTAAATGAAAAAGTATCAATTAGACATTACAAATTGTAGCTTAAGAAATAAATATTTTATTTGATTCAACATAAAATGTATAACACAAACATTTAGGCCTAACGTAAACTGTGGAACACAAAAGAAAATAATTTGAGAAACATCTCAGTATTTTTTGTTCATACAATGAAAGTCATTGGTAACCAAGCTTTGATCAAGTTTGAATCAAGTCTTCAAAATACCTTTTTTATATTCCACAAAAGAAAGGTTTGAAACAACATGAGGGTGAGTAAAATAAATAAATAAATATATACACACACATATACAGTATATATATATATATATATATATATATATTTATTTATTAGTCATTCATTCGATTCGAACGGCTGATTCATTCAGGAATGAAGTAAATGGCTCTCTTTATGAATGGGCCTTTGAATCACTGATTCACATGATTCGTTCAAAACGCAGATTCACTCAGAAACTAAACACCGCTGTGTTGCTCACAGACACACAACAATTCTGTTATGGCTTTAAAGGTAATATGTTCCCTGCAAAATTGTGCAAAACACATAATATTGTGTTTAAAATATAACGCAATATCAACTTCTTATTTACTGAACTGTTGTATAAACCACATTATCACTCGTGGTATTCGGACAAACAGCACTCATCTGATATTGCTCTGGCTGCTGGTGTGATACTGATATCGCTTATCGTTTGATACAAATATGAGACAAAACACATACAGGGGCATTTTTGCACCAATATCTTGAATTTTAGGGCATAACTGGATTTATGGAGTTGTTGCCCTGCATCATAATTGTCAACAGTGAACTGAACTGTATGAATTGTAAGATGACATACAGGTCTGGGGGCGGGGCCAGTGCATTAACTACGTTAAAATATTTTAATCGCATTATTTTTTCCATAACTAATTAAGTTAACGCGTTATACTGACAACCCTATTATATATACATAAATATACACAGAACACACACATATGCAAACAAAAACTTCTTTTGGATGTGATTAATCACAATTAATCGTTTGACAGCACTACATTTTTTATATTCTGTATATAATGCAATGACAATCAGACACTTTAAAAAGCAACTCAAGTTGCCAGTTATTTATTTCCAAGGTTACCATGATGTAGAACTACCATATTGCCTTTACATTACAGTGTTAGCTTTTGTAATGAATTACTGAAAGAGCTCTGAATAAACAAACGTTTGCATGTAAGTGCTGTCATCTCTCATCAGAGACGTACAGTCGTGGTGGCAGATGGGAGGTAATGTCTTACTATAGCATTTTCACATTGATTGCGGTGCCCATAACAATAATAAAGTTCATAAGCACTGCGGGCATAAAAGAAAAAGAGTTAATGGTAGTAATCAGCATAGAAGCAGTGAATGTACGGCACGAGCCATGTGTAAACAGACTGTGGGGTGTAATCGGCTCCGTTGGAGGGGTTGAAGTCTCCACTACCGCCACTGTGATTAATCTAGAGTGGAAAACTCATTACGATTACATTCCACACTCTCACTTTTATGACAGTGTAAGAGATGCAGAGAGAGAGGGAGAGAGAGCAAGAAACACCCAATATACACATTTAGAGCGCCTTCATAGGGCCACAAATGCACTGGACAATTTTAGTCATCGTGTGAAACAATTTTCAGCAAGATTGTTTGATGTTAATATCTCAAAATGTGTCACCTGAAGAGTCACAAATGTAGTTCACAAAAAATAGGTTTAATTTGTTTGACTTTCTTTATAATAAATTTAATAATAAACCTTCACAACTTGAACAAAACCCTCAGCACTAGTATGATAAAAACAAAACAAAAACAAACATTTTTGGAATATTATGAACAGATTTCTGGAGCAGAAATTGAAGTGTTTTAGTGTCAAACGAATACTAACTTTTTCAGTTTTTATTAAAAAAAAACTCTGTAATTGTAAGAATCCGCTGAATCTGCTCACCTCATGCTGTAGTTTATGATCAGTGTGACATTGTGGGTCTGTGTGAGGATACAGTGCATCACTCCAGCGATTTCTCATCTGAGCTCTCAAACAGAAACCCTCAAACTTCAGCTCAGAGACAAACTGAAAATAACACAAGCCATTCAGAATGAGCTGAAGAGAGATTTACAAGTGTCATTCAGAAGGGTCTATACTTCACTACAATACTTGTCCTGTTTCTACAACACAAGAGTGACAAACTAATTTATGCCCAAGCATAAATAGATAAATTCTTCATTTATGATTCAAACAAAACTTCCAAAAAAACATGAGAAAGGAGATTGCAGTTCTCAGAGTAACACTGACCTGCTCTCTGAGCAGCATAACCCAAACTGAGTGAATGAACTGGAAATCCAAACTCAAACCCTTTAACATCAATGATCTTTGTATCAGGCTCATTAGCTGTATTAATGCATTTAATTCACTTTTAACCCAGAAGAACCAGAATCTTTACTGGTCCTGCTATCTTTCCTTAACCAAAGCACACATTTCGCTGTATAAGAGCTCTCTTCCCGCTAAGGCATAAAATTTCCCTGCATCAAATTATTTTCTTTAAATCTGCATGCTTACTAAGTCTTTCCATCTTTGTATTTACAGTTTCACAAATCAGTAGGAGTTACTGTTCGCTCATACATCATTTCTTGCAAGTGTTCGCCCTCTGCTGGACAAAAGAAAGTCTACAGTTACTATTTTTATGTATTTATTTAATTATACACATATATATATATATATATATATATATATACACACATACATA